ATAATAAGGCTGGTATGAAGGTTCAGTGTGCTGTTGGACATCAAGTCTTTCCTAAGAAATCGTTACTCTTAGGAGTGTGATACAATAAAGGGTACAGCTGACATTTGCCCCTGGTTCCTGGCACAGGCTCCAGGAACCCTGGAGTCTCCTGAGCGATCCGAGCATCTGTTTAAATTGGTTCTGAGCTCCTCTGACCATCCCGGAGTTGATGATAATGAAGTGACTCAAGTGGGCCCTTAGATATTTTCACAGGAGGGTCTGGCCACAGCAGAAAGCCAGAGGGGTCGAGGCCTGTGGGCGCCAGAGGCAGGGACACACACACACACACACACACACACACACACACCCTGGCAGTCACCCGTCACTCGACAGGCCGCACACCGTGCCTCTGGCTTCCTTCTGCCTGGTGCCTGGCGGGGCCTGGGTCTCTGCTCGTGAGGCCCGGGAAGCTCTTCACAGGCCGCTCTGGATCCAGTCCTTCCCTGACGCACACCTGGGTTGCTTCTCTCGGGTTCCCTGACCAGGAGGCACTTACCTACTCCTCCTCGTTACTTCTGCCTAGGGTACACTCGTGGAGGGCAGATTGTCTTTGCATCTTGTGCTTTTTTGTAGCAACGCCTTGCTTACAATGCCTAAATCTTTGTAATCCCCTTAGTTGTGATTAGCGCCTCATTACAGAAATGTAAGAAGGGAAAACATGCTTAAAAATAGTTACAGTTTACTTCTGAGCGATTATTCTGTAAGCCTACACTGCACTTGGTATTTAGACCTAAGGCATAAAGTTCTTTAAAGGCATTTTAACACATCTAGGAAGGAGAAAAGAAAATAAGTGTGGTAACACCCTTGAAATCCCAACTACTCAGAAGGCTCAGGAAGGAGGATCACAAGTTCGAGGCCAGCCTAGGCACCTTAGGGAGTCCTTGTCTCAAATTTAAAAAAATAAAAAAAAAGGGCTGGAGATGTGGCACAGTGGTAAAGTGCCCCTGAGTACAGGAAACAAGAACAAATCTCTAGGGCTGGGGATTTAGCTCAGTGGTCCTGCCGCCTGCCTCAAAGGCACAAGGTCCTGAGTTCGATCCCCAGTAACCCCTCCCCCTCAAACGAACAAAACTCTAGAACATTCCTTAAGATAAATACAGTAGAACCCTCAGTTTACTATACATAATGTAATGCACATACACATTACCAATTTGGATTAAACTGCTTAGTACAAAGCACAACTTGATGCCTATCGAATAAAGAAGACACTCTCTTCTGAACTAATTTATTGTGTGGACACTATTTTAAAAGTCAGGGTATACAGAACCATTGGTTGAGGCTAAGAAGAAATGAATTCAGTCCTAATTAAAGCCAAGAGTCAGATGATACTGAAATGTGACATGAGAGAAAACAAGAAAATTTGTGAAATTTACTTTCTTAAATTTTAAGTGCTAAAATAAACAATTTCTTACATTTCAAGGGAATAGCACAGTTTAGAAGACAGTGTTTTGAGTAAATTTTTTTTCACAAGTACTTTTCTTCATTAAGTGGGTTTTTGTTTTGTTTTGTTTTTTGAGTCAAGCCCTCACTATGTATATGTAGCCCAAGCTGCCTTTGCATTTTCGACCCTCCTGTCTCAGCCTCCTAAGTGCTGGGGTTTTAGGGGTGTGCCACCACCTCTGGCTTCATAAAGTTTGAAGAGTCATAATCATAAGAATAATGAACACTGTGATTGGAAGTGTGTCTTTTTGAAATTTGTCAACATGTGGCAAAAAAAGGAAAGTTCTTTTCTCTTGGAGTGTATGCTGTTGTTTTTGTTCTTTGAAGGAATTACAACTCTTAGAAGCTGTCATTACGACTCCTTGAGTGTCTGACCTCACCATGGGGAGGACTGTGCAGGGTGCTTGCAATTAGGGGTTATGGGAGCTGCTGTTTGGATAGGGCTCTCCCAGGGCAGCTTCCGCTGGTGAGATGAGTTCTACCTCTATTAAGGAGCTCGCTCTATTTTCCATCACTTTTCAAGCTCCGTTATCTCCTACAAAGGCTTAACATGTTTTCAATGGCCATCAAAAAGGTCAGCTTTCTGGATGGGGTCCCATCCAAGTAGAAGCCATTTTTGTCTTCTGAAGTCAGATTCTGTCCAGTGGCCAGCAGAGTTGGGCCGCACATGCTTTATCTTGAGATTTGATAGGTGACTGCTTATCATTTGCCTCAGATTTGAGTGGCTGTGCTAAGTTCATTAATTTGTCTTGCAGTGCCAGAAGAGATGTTCCTCACTGTACATGTGCTGGCCTCACGGTTTTAATTTTGGAACATATTATTTACTTCAAGGGAAATAGCACACATTTTTAGTGGGAACAAGAGAGTTAGTGGCAACCAGAAAAAGAATGCACAGTTTTATAACACAAACGTGATAATAACAGGAGATGGGATTATTCAAGTGCTGAAGTCCAGATTTACTAGGGTAAAGTATAACACGCTCAATGACATTTTCCTGCATTAGTTTCCTATCATTCCTATAAAAAAGTATCACAAACATTGCTTACAACAAATTCATTTTCTTACAGTTTTGGGGTCAGAAGTTTGGTTTTTTTGTTTGTTTTTTTGGTACCGGGATCGAACTCGGGTCTTTCTGCTTGTGAGGCAGGCGATGGAACCACTGAGCTAAATCCCCAGCCCAGGGGTCAGAAGTTTGAAATGGTTCTGAGGGGCCTAAAATCCAGGTGTCAGCAGGGCTGTGAGCTCCTCCAGCTTCGAGACCCTGCTCGAATCCCTGGTGCCTGGGCCCCGCATCTCCCAAGAAGGTGTCTAGATCACTCCAAGCCCTGTGTCCCTGTCACCCTACATTCTCTGACCCTACTTTCTTGTTTCGGCTTTTTTTTTTTGGCACCAGGGATTGAACTGGGGACCTTGCACTTGCAAGGCAGGCAGCAGAACCACTGAGCTAAATCCCTGGTCCTTGTCTTGATTTTTACTTCAAAAGAAACTTGTAATGACGTTGGGGCCAGGGTACTCTTCCCATCTTGAAATCGTTAACTTCATCACACTTGCAGTCCCTTCTGTCACAGAAAGTAACGGATTCACAGGCTGGAACTAGGACACAGACCTCCTGTGGGGAGGGGCACAGAACTGCCTGCTACAGTTTCTTAAAATAAAAACCTAATGAAACATCTTCTTCCGCTAAGGAGTTGAAAGTGCTATGAAATAAACAATGAATATATAAACTAATTTCTAGAATAATTTGCTTTCAAATACCTTCCTGGGCCAGGATTTAGCCCAGTGGTGCCACACCTGCCTTGCAAGCACAAGGTCCAGAGTCCGATCCCTGGTTCCGGAACAAATCCAACCCCACCCCCCCAAACCTGATGCTTTGGAGTAACTGCATATTCCAGAGGAAGCTGAACTTCTGCATAACTGACCAAGGACCCTTTTCCATCTAATCCCGTATGCCTCTTCTCCCTCTTAAATAAGAGTGGCATTTTTCCAGATTTAAAAAATTTTTTTTAGTTTTTTACTTCCATCCAGTCATGTAAAATGTCCAGATTCTCGTTTGGTTGTTCTTTAAAAGATAAAAGCCTAGAACTATCTGTGGTTTGCTTTATTATGTGATTAGAAGACTTTATAATTGCATTTAATTAGAGAGGATAGGATGAAACCAGTATAAACAGAGTTCGTAGTGCAAGCTCTGAAGAGGAGGGAGGGGTCACCACAAATCGGTTGTGTCTAAAGCAGATTTCCATTTGAAAGTTTTGCGAATAAGAGCTTGGCAATTGTAGAGCTACAGTGTTTTGAATTTCACTAAATAACACCTAAAATATTAGGTCTGAATGTATTAATCAAGTGACCTATTTTAATCATAAATGTGAGTCAAAGTTGTTTATCAAATCGTCATCTTTTTTTTTTTTTTGGTACTGGGGATCAAACTTGGGACCTTGTGCTTTTGAGGCAGGCGGCAGAACCACTGAGCTAAATCCCTGGCCCTGTTTATTGATTCTTATTGCTTGTTTAGTTTCTTTAGAGGAATCAATTAAGTGAGTGAGAAATTTATTGAGGGGAGGAAGTTAACTCTCTGCCATTTCAGATTTCTTTTTGATATTTTAGATATCTAGTCCTCAGTTATTTGCAAATTTTAAAGTTCATAGAAACAGGGTTTTTATTTATTTATTTATTTTTGGTACCGGGGATTGAACTTGGGTCCTTCCGCTTGTGAGGCAGGCAGCAGAACCACTGAGCTAAATCCCCAGCCCTGAAACAGGGTTTTTAAGGCACAATGGATTTGATGAGGCATCGTGATTCATAGCAGATCTGAATTAGCTTAAACGCCTTTCTAAAAACCAAATCCGAAATTCCTTTTGCTATGTCATGAGCCTTTTCATGTTCTGCCCCAGTCAGTACCTGTCGTTGGTGGCGTGTACTGTGAGGGGCACCTGGCCAGGTTTGCAGGATGCTTATCTCTCCTTCACTCTTTCCTCTGCTTTCCCTGCATCAGGCCAGAGGAGCGAATGAACAGATCTAAGAAATAAAGCTTGAACAGCAAACCAAATGAAGGTTACCTCCTTGGCAGGACTTTGGTGGCAGAGAGGGACTGAAAATCCTGACTCTTGTTTTTGTCTTTCGTGAGGAGATGAAGTTCTCCTTTATTTCACTCAAAGGACTTGGTTCAGAGAGGGAACGTTTTTCTTCGTGATTTTCAGAATTGATGTGAACGTTTTGGAAAAGCGTCAACATGTGGCCAGGCCTGGGCTGTGTGGAAGGTCCCAGGCCTGCTGCTCGGTGTCCCCCGACGGAGAAGCCAGCCCTACGAGAAAGACCATCCAGTCACAATGCTGGTGGGGTGAAGCTGACAGCTCTTGAGTTAATAAGATGTTGTTTAATTTTTGGCAGACTTTCTTCCCTTTTTGATGGCAGATGAAAGGGCAGTGTTTAAATATGTTATTATCAAAGCGTAAGCACTAGAGGGCAGCAGCCACCCAAGAGTTGCAGATGAGGGGTGTCTGGAGGAAGCTGGAGATCAGGTGAGTGGAATCCGAGGGGCTGCAGGAGACCCTTACAGAATGATTTAAGTGATTCTAAATCAGACGAGGCTTTGGACAACCGCTGTGAAGTCCGTGAAAGCCGAGCAGACAGGATGCCCCTCCTCCTGACAACGAGGCCTCCCTCGTGAGCTTGTGCCAGAGAAGAGGGAGCATTCGCGCCAGGCCTTCACACACAGGAACACCAGCGTCACTGCCACTTACACTTCCGTCCGTGTCACCTGGAGAGGTGGTGGCGAGTCGCTCTCTGAGCACGTGGGTGTGGAGACGCCGGGGAAGGTGAGTGGGGACAGGGGCGCGGAGGACACAGGCGGCGAGGTGTGGCGACCGGCAGACTAGGCTGAGTCAGGGGCAGCTCCTCGATTCTCTGAAACAGATAAACTGTAACCCTTCAGTTGCTTGAATTTTGCATTGAAATTTTTTTTAACCTTAGCTAACTATGCAAAATGTAACGGGTGTTCTATTTCCTCTTAAAGTTCAGCCCAATTTTTAAAAAATGAAACAATTGTCTCTCCTCTTTAGAATCAGATGTAGGCTCAAACCTACCTTGGGTATATTTGAATAATTGCCCCTCCCTCAGAAATAGGACAAAGTACTTGCTAATCCCACACGAAACCTACCGACTCCCTATTACTTAAAATTAAATATTTAAGATATATAACGAGGTACCAAGAATGAACATTCATGTGCCTCACAGTTTAAAATAACAAAACCTCAATAGTCCAGTTGACACCTTTTCCTTCCTGCCACGTAAGAGATTTTGTTTGCTCTCTGCTCTGGGGATGGAACCCAGGGCCTGGCCCGTGCTAGGCAAGGGCTTCAGCACTGAGCTACACCCCCAGGCCCCATCCATACATTTCTTCCTGCTTGTGTTACATCATTAATCATGCACAGTCATGTAAGATTTCTGTATATTTAAAAACTGTATATAAATGGCATCATAATTGTGCTATGATTTGTGTTCTTCCTCAAACATTAGGTTTGTAAGATTTATCCATGTTGATCCACACAGCCCCAGTTATAGTGTAACAACTTTTGGTATTTATGTATTTGATAATGCAAATAATGTTGTTATAAAAATTTTCCTATTAATGGAGCTTGTTCATGTGTGTGAGTTTTCTTGGGCAGGGCTAGATTCACAAGCTATGTTTTTTTATGTTTCTAAATGGTTTATAGAAACCAAAAGAAGCCAGGGATGGTGGCGCATACCTGTAATCACAGTGCTCTAGGAGGCTGACGCAGGAGGATGGCAAGTTTGAACCCAGTTTGGGCCATGAAATGACTTAGCAAGACTCTGTCTCAAAATAAAAAAATTAAAAAAGAGCTGGGGTTGGAGCTTGGTGTGAAGGACTTGATCAATCCGTAGCAGGGGGTAAAAAAAGGATACTAATATTTTCTAATGTCAAAATTATGCAAAAGTTCAAATTTCAGTGCCCATAAATAAAATTTGATTATAACAGGCATATCCACATCTTTATATATTGTTTATGGCTACTTTGGGGACTTAGCAGTTGCGATAGAGACTTGGTTGCCTGCAGAGCTAAAACCCTATCTGACCTTTACAGAAAATCCTTCTGACCCCAAGGTCATGTATTCGTGGAATGGAGATGCAGGTTGTACCTTTCACTCTTCGCTGTCTTATCAGTTAAACTTAACCTGAAAAAACCAGCAAAACTCTATAATCTGCTTTCTAAAATGAATGGACAAATATAAAAAGAATTCTCTGAATCTTACGCTTTCATTAAGTAGCCGTAAGCACATTTTTTTTTTTTGGTACTGGGCATTAAACTCAAGACCTTGCACTTTCGAGGCAGGCAGTGAAACCACTGAGCTAAATCCCTGGCTGAGCACATTTTTTTTGTTTTGTTTTGTTTTTGGGCTAAGCACATCTTTGATGTGGCTTCTTTCTTTTTTGGCCCCTGGTGGGTACTGATTTGTTGTCATAGAGAAGAATGCAGATTCGGTTTGTCTTTCTTTGGAGAGAATGCTGAGAGTTGGGAAAACATTAGAAAAATAATTTTCATTTTACTTTTAAGATCACTTTTTTTTTGTACTGAGGATTGAACTTGGGACCTTGTGCTTTTGAGGCAGGTGCTGGAACCACTGAGCTAAATCCCTGGCCTTAGATCACTTTTTAAAATTAATTTTATCGGTACATTTTAGGTATACAATATAATGACATTCATCATTGGAAATTTGCACCTTTATATAATCTCTCTTGGTTCTTATTTTT